CAAGCACTGCATATGGAACCAGACAATCTTGCATTCATCATTATCACAGCCAATAAGTAGGCTTCCTTCAATATCCTCCCTGCAATAGCACCATGGTCCAGTTTCACCATCCGAGTCATCCATTTCTGGTACATTTAATCTTGCAGGCCTAGAGTACCACTTCCCCAACAATTCAGGTAATATTCCAACTAAAAAAAACTTGGAAGCCTTTTCTCTAGCTTCATCCCAGAATGCCTCATCTGGAAAGACACGTTCTATGTGAATATCTTGTTCAGTCCAAACAACAAAATCACAATAATCAGTTTCTGTGATGAAGATCTGCGCCTGCACTTGATAATAGTAAGCATGTTTATGGTCCAGTGATATTTTAACATCTATCACTGTTAAGCAGCTACTTTTTTCACCAGCAAGTTGTTCTGTTGTTGCATTTTTGAAACAAAATGGGCATTTTATCTCACAGCACCCTTTCCCACGGCAATCGCAATTCACAATACCATCAGGCGAAGCACCAAGATAAGGCCACTTGGGGTTAATGTTGAGTCCACTGTCAYAGACAACAAAGCACTCGTGATCCCCACACATTTTTCTTTCATAGGTCTTTCTTGCTTCCTTTTCATGAGTGCAACCCCATCTGAAATTCCAAAAAAATGCAAAAAGTCAATTTTAATTTAAATATGTTTTCCATTGTTTATGTAATTGAACATTTAATCAAAGTAAGAAAACACTATCACTCTGATTTCACRGGTGAAATTGTTACCTAACTAAGGATATACATCCTGAGTAAAAAGTGACACATATTACTTGTAATGCAGTGCTCAACAACAAACCTTGTAGCTGATGTTGTAAACTTGTGTGCCTCTGGATAGCAGATGCTCTTTATAAGACTTCTTGATGGTTTAGCTGGATCTGTGTGGCAGGCAGCTCTCAACTTTGACGCAGTTATCCTACCAGCAYGTTGGGAAAACCAAACCTTTGACTTGGCTTGTTCCCTAGTCTCCCTTTCCACTACTTGACATTCTTTTTCTGTCRTTGAGATTGACAATTTCTCACATTCGCTTAATAATTCTACATAATTCAGAGACAAGAACTCTTCTTTATGAAGGGTTGTCAATGACTTGGGAATATCGTCCTTCTCTTTTGGCACAAATGCATTGTTGAAGGGGTCAACAAGAGACAGTACAGCATACTTTGTACCAGCAGCAGCAATGTTATAATAAAAATCTCGAATTTCGCCCTCAGATGCAGCAATCAACTTGGTTCTTTTTCTTTCTTTAGCCTGGCTAGTATTGTTCTGCTCATTGCGTTCACCACAGAGTTTGTTTTGTCTCTTTTTTGCAGAMGTAAAATCTATCTCGCTCACTGGTAGGTATGGCACTTTCTTTACGTGTGCTGGTAGCCACTTGCTTTTGACTTCAGTGCATGTTCTTGAACTACCAATTCTATGACCTGCTTCAGTTGCAAAAAGCAGAGCGCCAATGTGCGAACAGGCTTCGCTTAATCCTGCCATGCAGTCACAGTGTGCGAGAATAATATCGCCAGTGTTTTCGCTTACAAACCACGGTTTGAGCGGCGTTTCTCGAGCTCTTTGCGAATGGTTTACTCGACCATGGACAAGAATCCTGTCTTCTTTAACTTCTTTAGTAAGAAGGCTGCCCACCCAGCCAGAAACGAAGAAGTTGTAAGCATCTAGGCTTTTATAAGCCTTCATCTGAGCGTTGGTTGCCCACGAGGTTTGCAGGACGAGATAGTTGACTATATCTGGATATTCAATCGCTGGTAATCGCGCTAAATCCTCCACATAATCGGACGGTTTTAACGTATATGGATCTAGACCACAAATTTCAACTTTTTCTCTGTATCTTGC